TTTTCAGTGTAGTCACAAGGCTGCACAAGCACCATTAGTATCCAATTGTAGAAGAATTTCATTCCTCAAAAGAAACCCCACACCCATTGGCAGTTATTTCTCATGGCCCCATCCCTCAAGCCCCTCATAATCACTAATCTGCTTTGCCTCTATGTGTTTGCCTAATTCTGGACATTCCACATAAACAGAATCACAGAATATATGGTTTTTGTGCCTAGTTTCTTTTACTTAGCATGTTTTCAAGATTCACCCAGGTTGCAGCACATATCAATACTTCATTCCATTTTGTGGCTGAATAATTTTCCATTGTGCAGATATATCACAATTTGTTTATCCATTCATCAGCTGAAAGACATTTGGATTGCTTCCACTTTTTGACTCTTATAAATAAGGCTGCTATGAACATTCATGTAAAAGTTTTGGTGGGAATATATGTTTTTCTTTTTTTAAGAATCTGATACATTTTGACATATGTACATACTTATAAAACCATCACCACAATCAAGACTGTATACACAAATATCATCCAGAAAGTTTCCTCATGTCCCTTTGTAATCTCGCTCTTCCTATCCACAAAACAACCAGTGACCTGTTTCCATCGCCATAGATTAGACTACATTTTTTAGAACTTTAGAGAAACCGAATCATACGATATATAATTTTTCTGACATTTTTCATTCAAAATAATTATTTTCAGGTTAATCTATGTTGCGTGTATCAGCCTTTAATTTTTCATATAGCTTAGTAGTATTGCATCGTATGAATATACCACAGATGTTTTATCCATTTCCATAATCAATTATCCGTTACCACTGGTGGACATTGAGTTTGTCTCCAGTTTTTCACTACCATAAATAAAATGGCTATGAACATTCACATACAAATATTTTCATGAACATTTTTAAACTTAAAAATAATAGTCAAACTGTGTTCCAAGATAGTGGTACCATTTTATATTCCTATTAGCCATGAATAAGAGGTCTAATTCATTCACATCTATACCAGTACTCAGGGAAGCACTCTGAAGTCTCAACACAAAACGCTCCTCCCCCTTCTCACCAAGGGATAAGCCTCAAGTTGTGTGCCTTCTTCCAATCACACCAAGCTGTGTAGGTCACAGCAAGTGTCTCCCCAAGCCCCTTCTTTGTTCTTTGTTCTCAGCCACCCCAGACATCCAAACGATGTCAGCTCCTGCTTGTACTTCCAATGAGGCAACACAGAAACAAATCCCTTAGGCAGCTTGCTCAACAGCCAGAATTTGGGATGCAAGCTCCACTCTTCCCTCCTCCCTGTACCCGCAAGCCTTAGACAGTTGAGGAAGGGGCTGATACAGGTAACATAAAATTGCTCTATTTACACATTTCAATGCTGCTATTCTCTGCTTTGTGCAAGTCTGAGGTACTGTAATTTCTTAACTAGAATCTGGAATTGTCATGCAGGGATTTTTGTCAGTAAATATTTGTTAAATCAGTGTTTCTGTCAGGGAGGGAGGACTGGAATTTCCTATTCCTCTATCTGGTTAATGTCACTCCCAAATTCTCAGTCTTGACTATTTCCTTCACTATTTTAAATATAGTTATTTTAATAACTGCATCTGATAACTCTATTTGCTAAAGTCCCTGTGGTCCTTCACATTGTCTATGGTTTCTTTTGCATTTCTTTCATATAGTTTTGATTCTCACGTTTCTGGTTATTTTTGATTGAGTACAGGGCAGGTATATAAAAATTTAAAGACAAATTGGAGGTCTAGAATGTAGTTATCTTGTTTCAGAGAGGATATACTTTTACTTCTATGAGATGGATAGACAGTAGCATCAAGGATTACCTTAATCCAACTCAAGAAACTGAAATGATTTCAGGCTGTAATGTAGTTCCCAAGGGAGCCAATCTACTTCTGATTTACCCACTCCTAGGCTGTGGCCTTTTATGGTCTCAACTCAAATTATGAGAGCTTCATTAAAAAAATCCACCTTGGTAAAACTTGAATTCCAATTTTCCCTCTTCCCCATAAGATATCAATAGTACTGATCAGCTTCTCAGCCATTTCTTCAAAAATCAACATGTGCCCTTAGGAAAAAATGGTCCCAAATGTTTGGCTCACTTCATTTTCTCTTGGATTGTGGTTTGGCAATTATTTACTGGGTCTGATGCCTTCAAGCAGATCTTATTTTTATTTGTTTATTTTGAGACAGGGTTTCACTCTGTCACCCAGGCTGGAGTGAAGTGGTATGATCTTGGCTCACTGCAACCTCCTCCTCCTGGGTTCAAGCGATTCTCATGCCTCAGCCTCCTGAGTAGCTGGAACTACAGGCGCCTGCCACCATGCTCCACTAATTTTTTCTATTTTTAGTAGAGACAGGGTGTCAGCACGTTGGCCAGGCTGGTCTCAAACACCTGCCCTCAAGTGATCCACCTGCCTTGGCCTCCCAAAGTGCTGCGATTACAGGCATGAGCCACTGTGCCTGGTTTAGCAGATGTTGTTTATATTTGTGTATCTTTTCAAGTTGACATTGTTAAGAGGATTATTCTGAATTACACAGGCCACCATTACTGGCAGAGAGGTCTGGGTTTTATAAATGTATACTTTATCTACAGTTTTTTTTTCTTTTAAAGTATTGGGGGTAAAATTTTTTCTGGTACCTAAACATCAAACAAACTGCAGGATGCTTAATATCCCTGGTCCTTGATGCTAAATGCTGGTTACAACCTTCTCCTCTCCTCCCCACTCACAACTCATTGTAAAACTAAGACCGTAGAGGTTTATAAGGTACTCATTAAGTTCACGAAAAATGGTAGCATTTGGAAATGTGAAATAATTTCATTTGTGAAATATTTGTGTCATATCCTTCTATTCCTCTTCATAGTAAATCTCTGCTTTGACCCTTTAGAGGTATGCAACCTTTTTTTAAAGTAAAAACGTCAAGTGAATGGTGCTTGGCTAAAATCAATTAAGTCAATGGTTAGTAGGGACCACGGACAAGCTGCATGCAGGTAGTCCATGAATCTACTAAATTTACTTCCAGGCTGGGTGCAGTGGCTCATGCCTATAATCCCAGCACTTTGGGAGGGCAAAGCAGGAGGACTGCTTGAGCCCAGGAGTTTGAGAACAGCCTGGGCAACATGGCAAGACCCTATCTCTATAAAATAAAAAATTAAAAAAATTAACTGGGCATGATTGCATATGCCTATCATCCCAGCTACTCAAGAGGCTAAGGATGGAAGATTGCTTGAGCCCAGGGTGTTGGAGGCTGTAGTGAGCTGTGTTCATGCCACTGCATTCCAGCCTGGGTGACGACTAAGAGCCTGTCTCCAAAAATAAAATTTTTTTTAATTTCCAAAAGTTTGTGGAGGGAGAATGTAATCAACAAGATGTTCTTTGGAGATATGCCACCAGGAAGGGATTATGATTTCATATTAAATAGATATGCATTAAATATCTAATATGAAATGAATTTAAAGAAAATAGCTTTAAATATTTTAAGGCTTAACTATGATTGCTCAATGAGTAAAAACTTGCACTAATTGACAAAAAACTATATATTTACAGTGTACAATGTGATGTTTTGAAATACGTACACTTTGCAAATAGGCTAAATTGAGCTAATTAACATATGCATTACTTCACATACTTTTTTTTGTGGTAAGAACACTTAAAATCCACTCTCTTAATGATGTTCAAGTATATAATACATTGTTATTAACTGTAGTCACCATGTTGCATAGTAGATATCTTGATATTTCTCCTAATTGAAATTTTATATTCTTTGACCAAAGGGAAATATTATTTTAGAGTCGGCCTGAGAAGAGGCAAATGTAGCTGGAAAGAATTACTTGGAAATTGAGATCACCATTCATTTTAGTTCAGATATTAGAAGACTCTATTTATATTTATACTAATTTCCTCTAAGGCTTTCTAACTTTCACTGATTGAAGTTAAAGCAGAAGAATATGGACAGGGACACTGATGAAAAGGGTGGTAAGTTACAGAGCAAAACTAAGAGCAAAATTCAACAAGAGACAAGAGGGAAGCAAGAGGGCAGAATTTCTGTGCAAGGAATTAAGAATTTCATGAAGAGGCAGGGTATGGACCTTAGGGAAGGGAAGATTTCAGCATAACTAGGAAAAGACAAACACAGATGGAGAACAATGAGAGTGGGACACTCATAGGCAGGGATATATAAAGGACAAATCAGAGGTAACGTAAATGGGAATCTTTGGGCAGCCCTAGTTTGAAACATCCTCATTTTTGTTATATTTTTCTTAAATAATGTAAAAGCTGTCCAATGTACAGTAGACACTTTCTAGAATCCTCCCAATCTTTCATCCTAGCCATTGCTGAAAAACTGGAGATAAAGTCCTCATATAGATGGTGGGATGAGAAGAATGAGACTCATAGTCCCACCTGACAAGGTTTCTATAAAAGCAGTTCATCTACGGAAATGCTAAATATATCATCTATTCGTCTTTTAGCATAAAGAAAATGTGTCCACTTTCTTTCTTTCTATGTTAGAGTACAGAGGCACCATCACAGCTCACTGAAGTCTTGAATTCTTGGGCTCAAGTGATACACCTGCCTCAGCCTCCCTAGTAGCTGAGATTACAGTGTGCACCAACATGCCCAGCTAATGTTTTAAAAATTTTCTGTAGATATGGGATCTCACTATGTTGTCCAGGTTGGTTTCAAATTCCTGGGCTTAAACAATCCTCCTGCCTCGGCCTTGCAAAGTACTGTGATTACAGGTATGAGCTACCACACTCATCCCATCCACTTTCTAAAAGTCTAACTGACCTAAGAAAAAAAGGGGTCTGGGTTAAAATTTTTAAAAAGAATGAACACTAGGTAAGATCAGGACCCACAAAATTATATATATCCTATATATAAAATATTTAATGGTTTAAAAAATATTTTCTTGATTCATGTGAGGTGATGTCAACTTAAAATAAATCCTTTAATCACAGGTTTCTACAAGATGACATTGAAAATGGGAGAAAAGACATACCCAATTGCTGGAACAGGAGAGCCACACTAGTGCCCGTGACAGGAAGGCTATCATGTAAAGGAGTCTGGATCAGCTGTCTATCTCCTGCACCCAAAGAAAACAGCTTCTGCAGAATGGGAGAAACATACACACACAAACACACACACACACACACACGCACACACGATTTCAGACATTTTTTAAAAAATAAAAATATCTTTGATGTTCATTTTTAGAGCAAACAACCATATAAGATCCAATTAACAGATACAAAGGGCAACAATGGATACCCCATAACATTTAAGTTCTTTGTATACTTAAGTGGCATAAGAAAATTCAGTGGTTGAAAGTTGCAAATCTAGTAAAGATAAGACACAAAAATCACTGATAATCATAACTGGCTAAAAAATAATGAAATGTTAAAGTCAACAACATTAGTAAAGGCTCATAAAGCAATTCAAGTTTAGAATCATCTGTGATCAAACTCACATTTAATGTTCTGCCCTTTAAGCAGAGGTAGAAGAATGAAGGAGGAGAGAGCAAGAGAGAGAGAAAAAAAAGGATAAAAATTTAAGACAAAAGACAATGAGAAAAGACAGAAGAGAAGTAAAAAGGCGAAGGGCAAGAAAAAGAAATGCCAATCTCACTATAAGCAGGATCTTTGTCAGATTGAAGACAATGTGATTTTTAGAAGGCTGTCCTCTTCCCCAATATTATATAAGAATAAGCAAAATAAATTATCAACTATTCATTTTTAGGGTTTAAGGAAAAAATCTATTCTTTTAAAAGTGTGGTTGACCAAGAAACAATAAATAAATCATAGCAGCAGAGATTATTTTTTTACTTTAGAGACAAATATGAAAATCTCAAGACATACAGAATACATGAATCTATTAATAAGTAGTTACAATGTAACAAAGAACTGTGTTGAGAGTTTTCTTTGCGTTATCTTCTAATTTTTATCACTCCAACATTTTTCAATTTAGGTTAATAAAAATCAGGTGTAACTATATACAAGAGTAAGAAAGGTAAAAGAGCACATTTAAAAGTTCAACTTAATATATTTCCAAGAAAATACAAACTGCAGTTCAAGTTACACGAAATATGACTTCTCATTATGCTATGTGAAAGACGAATCCTGTGTTAAAATTAACCTCATGACCTAAGAAAAGAATGGAATCTTGAGTGTCTAGAAGGCAGACCATGGGGACAATGCTTAACTAAACTAGGATCTTCCCTAAAACAAAAATATTTAAAGAATTCTTTCTTTCACCATAAATTAAATTAACTGGAGGAGAGGGGAAGAGAAACAATCCTTCTCCACCCCTCTTTCTATTCTATTTACCTGAGACCCTCCAGCCGCTGGGACAAGGCAGGCACAAAGGTTAGCAATTAGACTTTCCAAGGAGACATTCAGGCTATCCACATACACGGTATAGATCAAACCCAGGCAAGCCTGCAAAAAGATAGATACATGTAATTATTTCATGGAAAAAGCATTAAAAATAAATTGTTATGACATCTGTTCTAGGACAATTTCTCTTTGAACCTAGTAAAGTATATTATACAGTGAACATGGAATACATTTTAAACAGCAAAAATTAAGTTTATTAAATTTTCCTTAGAACCAGAACCTCCAAATGAGCTTCTGAGATGAGTTTATGGAAAGCAGAAATCCACAATTTGTAAAACAGATGTTTGTGCTCTGATAACTACTTTAGCAAATCTGTAGCGCTAATACTGTTTTTGCCTCAACTTAGTTTGTTAAACTCCAAATCTCAAGATAGAAACTTAGAACTTTTATCTTGTTTGGTGGTTCTTATAAATCTGGAATGCTTATTCTACAGAAAAATTTAACATGTGAATTGTAAGAAAGGATTGCAAAACAGAGACAAGATTGTAAGATTAACACTGAGTTCAGAAGAAGGTAGGTGGTAAAACAGACATAATGCAATCTTTATGAATCTCTTTCAGTATAGTGAAATTTGTGACTTTGAAAACTTAGTATTTGCTTGGAGTTACCCATTGTCATTGAAATCTTGGCACTAAATTAATTCTTTCTTAACATAAATAATCTCAATTTCTAGAAAAGTTTTACAGAAATTTTATGTTAGCACGAACATTTACAAATGAATAAAAATTTCCTCTTATGTTTGAAAATTCTGTGTTTCTAAAATAAGAAAATAACTGGAAGCAATATTTTAAGGTATTTTGACAGAAATATGATCAGAGTTATTTGAAATCTCAAACATTCATCCTATTTACTTAAACCTGATTCCGCGTAAGGTGAATAAACATACATAAAGTTGTTAAATCACTCATGCATTTACATTTACTATAGGTAATCAAATTATTTCTTTAGGATGTATACATTCTGGATTTAATAAATGTGGGACCTATCCTTAGAAGTTTTAGTAGTCACATTAACTTATTCAGGTATTTATTTCATCCAACATGAAAATATTTCTTCTGTTCATGCTAACTGTATTTCATAGATGAATTCCTAAATCAATCTAACAATATTTTCAATCCCAACAACTTGTACCATGGTTCACTCAAGAGACTCATACAATAATACAAATTAATAATAACTATGTGTTCTTTACCCTAAAAATTTCTGGATAATATAATCTGGATACCAACACCAGGCTTTTGGGAGCAAACACTTCTGCAGGCTGAATTAAACCAGACACTTCTGCTTCACCTTCAATCTCTTCCTTCTTTGTTCCCTAGAAAAAGAGACACTGAAATCAACAAACAGAAGGGATTTCCTAGACTCATAATTCACAAAAGATGAACATCACCTTAAACATAACTTATACAAATTCAAAATTAATTATAAAATATAATTTAAAAAATCAAACTACAAATAAAGAATAGACTTTAAGAGCAATCTAAAAGTAAAGTAGACAAATTATGAAGCAGGGAATACTTATTACATTCTTGAAAAGCTCCTTAAGCTCTGGAAATATAACACAACTGTATTTGAGCATTTCCTTTCTGAGTGAATCAAAGGCAAATAAGACATGTTCAAATTATTTTAAATAGTGACCCAAACAATTTAAAATTATACTCACTTAGATGAAAAGTTAAAAAATGATATTTAAATGAAAAGCCAGTTTTCAAAAGAAGAAGATCTGTTTTGGAAATACGATGCTAATTTTCATTTTGGTTTTTCTACTTGTCTCAATCTCTCAAACAAGGATTCTAAGGCTTGCAGAATGCTTGGTGCTCAATGCTCTTGGCAGTAAAGCACAATCGGCTCCAAATTGCTTTTGTTCATAAGCGACAATGCTGATATTTTGAGAAAAGTGAACTTTGTTTTTGTTTTTGAAACAAGGTCTTGCTCTGTTGCCCAGGCTGGAGGGCAGTGGCACAATCACAGCTCACTGCAGCCTCAACCTTCTGGGCATAAGGGATCCTCCCACCTCAGCTTCCTGAGTGGCTAGAATCACAGGCACACGCCACCATGCCAGGTTAACTGTTTAGTTTTTGTAGAGACAGGGTCTCCCTATGTTGCCCAGCTGATTTCAAACTCCTGAGTTCAAGTGATGCTCCTGCCTTACCATTCCAAAGTGCTGGATTATAGGTGTGAGCCATCATGCCTGGCTGAGAGAACATTTTTACATACAAAACTGAATTTCAAAATGTATTTAATGCCACTGAACTGAATACTTAAAAATGGCTACATGGCAAATCTTACATATATATTTTACCACAATAAAAAAGGCTTAAAACAATACATAAGTTTTAATAACTAAACACGAGTTAATAAACTTGGAAAAATATGATTCTCCCACTTAACAAACCAAAAAATCCTGATTCCCCTCTTTTTAATAGCCTATATCTCACTGTCAACAAATCCTGATTTCTTACCTACTCTATTGCTACCATAACGCTGTGAGCTACTATAATCTCTTGTGTGGATTACTCTACCAGCCTCCCTTCATCTCCTTTATTCTTCTTTAGCCCCACTTTGCTTCCTTGCTGCTCTTTAAACACACTGGGCATGCTCCCATCCACTGATCTATGCACTTCTGTGTTATTCCTTTGCCTAAATACTCTTTCCACAGATATTTTAATGACTCAATTCCTCATCACTTTCAAGTTTTCATTCAAGCATCTCCTGCTCTGCTAAGCTTTTGCTGACAACATTATTTAAAACTGCAATGCCCTAACACTCTCTACCCACTTTCTCTGCTTTATTTTTCTCCATGGCACTTGTTACTATCCAACATATTGGATATCTATTTCACTTATCTTGTTTTTTAGTTTGTCTGTCAACCGCACTAGCACATGCTCCCATAAAGGCCAGGATTTCAGTTTTGTTCAATGGTGATCTCCCAGTTCCTAAAATAAGGGCTGGGCCCATAGTTGATACTTAATATTTATTCATTGCATACATGCATGAATACATTTTCTTGGCATAGTTTTTTGAGCATTTTATCAAGGGAAGTCTTTTCCCCCCTATTCATAGAGGCCAAGAATTATATTTTCTATTTCCTTTAGAGCTCATTTAGTTTCTATTACAATGCAATATAACAGTATTGGATGTCTGTGGAATGCGCACATCCAAAGGGAACTGTTTACTTTTTGTATGTATGATAAAGGCCATATGCTCTTGAAAGATTTTCATTTATTACAAAGCAAAAACAAAAATTAGGTTGGTTGGTTTCTGGAATCCTTAGAAATAATAAAAATGTGATGAATATGAATTTACCAAAGATTTCCACACTTAATGAATCATATTCTTCATGGATTACCAACAAATTCAAAATGACAAAAGAATGACTAAAATTCTTGGAAGAGATAAAGCTATCCACATTTTTATGGGATTGTGATAAATGCCCTAGAGTACCATTAGAAGCCAGCGAGAGTAAGTAGATAACCATTTCAAATATATGACCATTAATTTACTTTGACCAAAACACAAAATAGAATACCATTGGTCATTTCTTAAAGTTGCTCTTCAATTAAACACTCACCAAAAGAAAAAGTTATTAACAAGAAAGGCCGGGCGCGGTGGCTCACGCCTGTAATCCCAGCACTTTGGGAGGCCGAGGCGGGCAGATCACAAGGTCAGGAGATCGAGACCACGGTAAACTCCGTCTCTACTAAAAATACAAAAAATTAGCCAGGCGCGGTAGCGGGCGCCTGTAGTCCCAGCTACTCAGGAGGCTGAGGCAGGAGAATGGCGTGAACCCGGGAGACGGAGCTTGCAGTGAGCCGAGATTGTGCCACTGCACTCCAGCCTGGGCGACAGAGCAAGACTCCGTCTCAAAAAAAAAAAAAAAAAAAAGAAAGAAAGAAAAAGGTCCAATAGAGTGAAAATCAGTATTAAGTAAAAAATAATTTTTATTTATATCACTTTTTATTATAGATGTTGACTTTTCCTTTGTAAATGTGCTACAAATCCTAAAATATTCTTAGTTCTTAATTTTAGTATCTCTAGGAATGCAATGTCCCAAGTTTAGAGAAAAATTCTTATTTCTGCTTTTAAAGCAAAATGTACTGCTGTGATTAAACACGCACACACACACACACACACACACACACCCCCCAGATAAACCCCAAATTTGTTAGGTAAAATAAAGTTTGTTATAGAATGGTAAAGTGACACTTTTGATAAAATTATTCTAGAAATAATTTATTATGTAAGAGGAATACTCCCTCTTCTACACAGCTGCTAGATATATCCTGTGTAATAATTATATAATGACACTAGTTTTATTTGGTGTGTGTTTTACAATGACAGATTTCACCTACTGAAAAGATGTGAGAAACTTAAAAATAAGCAGGAAATTCAAAACATAGTTTATGAATATGAGATACTCTAATAATGCTTCTAAATTCAATATTTTTCAGTATAAAACAGTTTCACATATTTTATCCAGCTGAACAATATTTTAAAGGCTTTGTCAACTTAAGATTATTTCTTCTCATTAAATTGGCCACTTAAAGATTATTCCTTGCTTTTAGTAGGTCTCATTAAAGATACAAATTTAACTTAAACACTGTTTACTCAATTATCTCACATTGACTTACAAGGTCAATACATATCATAATCACATGCCACAACTTGCCCATTTGTAGATATCTTTGCCTACCAATTACTACTATGGATTACATTTGCCAGTGATTCCCAGTTTCTGTGTAACTTATATTATGTGTAGTTCATAGTCTCTGTGCTTCAATAATATGGGATAAATTAGTACTCACCATATCAATCTGGACTAAAAGTGCTACTACTGCTCCTAAAACATATCCTGAGACAAAAAGTACTAGATTGCCGATTGCATGCAATAACTCGATGTAGCAGATCAGCACAAGCTTTAAGGAAGTTTATCTTACCACTCAGGTTGAACACTTCAGCCTCATCTTTGTTGTATCTTGATGCTTAATTTTAATATCAAAATAACTGTCAAGTCCTGACCCTTCTATCCTTAAAGGACCTGTGGCATCCAACATCTCTGTGCTATGTTCATTTTTAACAATACTGTATCATAGTAAAAATCTTCCCACAGCATTTCTTAAATAATCACTTATAAAAAGAGGATAAAATTAATTCCACAAGTAAAACATTTTCAGTCCTAAATTTCCTTTCCAAAATGTAATATATAGCAATTGTACCACTATATAGAATTGTCTCAGTAAAGCAATTTAAGAACTTAAAAATTTTCCAGAATTGGAAATAATGGAGCCTAAGTAGTTGCAAAATTCTATAAGTTCTAAAATTCTCCCCAAAACCCTTCATTTCTTGCCAAATAATCTTTTAATCATGTTGACATGTCCACATGATCAAACCAGGTTTGCCCTTTCATTGGTCTGGAAAATAATGAATACATAAGAAATACACATTTTAGGATAACAAGCCTTCAAACCATCTAGGCCACCAGTCTTTAGTTCAGAATCAAGTTTACCTCTAGCAAAGAGAATATACTGCAGATTTTCCCCTTCAATAGCAGAGCCCTGGGGCTCTACAGTATTCAGAAGACAGGACAAATTCTATTATATGTCTACTATATATCTGCTCATAAAGAATTCCGGTTTTAGCATGTAGTGAGCCAAGATCGCACCACTACACTCCAGCCTGGGCAATAGAGGGAGACTCTGTCTCAAAAAAAAAAAAAGAATTCTGGTTTTAGTGGCACTAAAATAGGAAGTGTTTTCTCCTGGAACCTAAAAGACATTACTGAGCAAAAGGGTCTCCTAATCAAAGAATGTTGGAAACAATACATTAAAAAGGTTGCTTTACTGCAGGATTTCTCAAATTTTGATATGAAAGTATTGTTTGTTCAATTCAAAGCACAGTATTTGTCAAAATTATTGGATCGCTACATTATGGCACATCTAGAAGACCTGGTGCCCTATGGAACACATACTGGGAAATGCTGTCATGAAGTATTATATGATACAAAATGTCAAAACCTTGTTTAATGACTATGTAACGTGGCATATTAAAATACTGCATGAAGAAACAGGACATTTGGTTATAAACAAGTGTCATGCAATAAATTCTACAACACACATTCATCCAAAAAGGACCTCTTCAAGGAGAACTACAATCCACTGCTCAAGGAAATAAGAGAGGACACAAACAAATGGAAAAATATTCCACACTCATGGATAGGAAGAATCAATATCATGAAAATGGCTATACTGCCCAAAGTAATTTATAGATTCAATGCTATCCCCATGAAGCTACCACTGACTTTCTTCACAGAATTGG